TAACATCGAGTTAACCTTCAATTTTAACCTTCCCTTCTTTTCCAATGACTTAATTAACATCGAGTTATTTAAAGAATACCATACAAGTCATACGTATGCATAGAAGTTCGATGAATACATGCTTCATTTTACCCATTTTTAATTCATACATACATATATATATATATATATATATATAATTTAGTTATTCTTAATAATCATGATTTTTCCTTCAATTAAATGCACCCATAATGTTTAACAGGATTTTTAGCATTCATCATCAAGACTGATAAAATGTAAGTCCTACTTGATTAGTTGTCTTTCAGGTGTTCATTCTGTATCTTCAGTGTTTGACTTTTTTCTTCCATTTGTCAAGTGTAATCATTATGGTTTGTTCGAATAAGTTTCCTTACTAATTACTAGTATAAAAAGGAAATAAGAAAATTAAAATAATTATTTCCAATAAACTATAATTTGGTTGACACATAATCAGTTTTTGAGAGAAGTTAAAATCATTAAGCTTATTTTACATTGTGTACATGCTCAGCATGGTATCCCCGTAATTCCTTATTGATATATAACCCACATTAGGCTGGCTGCTTTGCGAGGTACATTGTGTGTTCTAAAACAGCCTTGGTCAAGCTATTCATATGATACAACATAACAGGAAATTATCAACTTGTGCAGTCTCGATACGTGATACAATCAAGAATGTTACAGCGCTTCTCCAATAGGATAGTGAACCTTTGTAACTGATGTTTTTAAGTAGCTAGTTCCACAGTGGGAATCATGGTTAGCAACATCAAGATTATCTAATTCAGTGGAAGCTTCAAACATTTCACCACGAGAATGAAGCCACCTATTTAGATACTGTTTATCTTTGCTGCTGCCTCTTTTAGAGTAGTTCACCTTCTGACTCTTCTTTCCATTTTTCTTTTCATTCTTCCTGCTCCTGGATTTCGGCTGTTTCTTGATTTTGACAGTATGTGATGACAATGTAGGTATAGGATCATACACATCAGGGGCCCATTTAACTGTCAATGTCATTTGTGATCTTCCCTCTTTCTCACGGCTACCTTTCATGGCGGAAACAAGCTTTGAAGGTGCCTGTGGTGTAAAGCACAGAGAAAATGGTAATCAATAAGCAAATGATGAAACGTGCATAAAAATAGCTGTCAATAGCTCAAGACCAATATGCATTCAGTGTCCGGTTCTACCAAAATCATTTAAATTTATATCTGCTAAAGTGCTAATTATACTAAATTATAATCCAACAATTTTCCACTCCTCTTGAAGGCTTAAACCTCGCTTCTATCTGTTGAAGCGGAGAACGGGTAAACTACGAGACACTGTTGCAATATACCAAGTTTTCCAATAGATATATCTATGCTTTATCAACAGAGGAAACCCAAATCCTAGTAAAAATAATAAGCACCGAGAACATTGTTCAACTACCCTGCTGCTTCTATGGTAGGAACATGAATTTGTCCGGCAACATACAAAGCAGCCATAACGTTCTAGCCTACTATTCAAAGAGAAGTATTCGTTGTTCAAATATGAAAAATAAAAATAAAAAAATCGATACACAACATATAGTAGATACGTCAAAAAACTAATGCCCTGGGCTGGAACAAGCAAGCAATAATTCAACTTAAACATCAATATCCCTTAGATGAAGACAAGACAAACAATCCATTCCGCTAATAAATTTTATGCGTTTCTTCATAAAAATAAAAGCACGCATTGTTGACAATCTTTACATTAGATATTGAAACTATCCCACGATATTTTTTTCATTGAACAGAATTACATGCAGAAAGTCAAAATTAAGAACTTACTGACAAAGATACCGAGCTTGAGTAGCTTTGTTTTGGAGATTGCTTAGAGGGTGACGTATCATTCTCCTCCTCAGAAGAACTTGAAGGCAACAACACATCGGGATAAGGGAAGTTTGGACACTTTTTCAAGCAATTTATGTCTAATTTGGTTTCTTGCAGTTCAAAACCTCCACGTAAGTTCCGCTCCCCCACATCACAATTACCAATATGATGCTCCTCAGATGCATGTTCTGACTTCTGAGCATCTTGTATATGTAATGACTCACTAAAAATGCCTTCAAGCTTACTTATGATGTTGTCATGCACAGCATTAACGGGAGAGGGCGTGTCCATCAATTGTATTAGGCACTACAAGCAAAAAAATAGACAAAGCAAATTATTTAATGAATAATTATAAAAAAAAAATTACTAACAATATTCATACGCAAGCATCGACAAGTAAGTAAACCATTCCACACATTTCCGCATTAGATTCGATATATTGTGCAAATGATTCGGAAGAAATCAAGGGGGTACAAAATAAAATTAATCAATATAACGGTCATGAAGTAGCAATAGCAGTAGTAATGAAATAAAATAGAAACAATGAGTAAAAAAGAATTATTAGATGGTCAAAAATTATCAAATATTTAAGATCCTAACTAATCACTATATGAATATATAACATATATTTAAAATTTTCAATCCGTAAAAAATTTTAATGATACTTAATTACATATTATATAAAAATTAGTTAAAGATCATGTGACCTAAATCCACCTAATAATTTTTCATCTCGAAGGCCACTGACAATGGGATCAAATCGCCATACAAAGATTTCCAGATTAAACTAAATGTTCCACAGGTAATGTTTTCAGCTTAGGATGGTACCATGACTGAGTTTATATACCAGCAATCTTCGCAAATAATTGTGAAATTAGAATCAAAATACCAAATACGTTAGCCCTAAGAAGATTCAATGTTACCCAAAAAAAGCAACGGTACCCAATTCATTTTGTCTGCTATAAGCAATATCAATAACCCACCTATTTTAATTTTAATTTCAAATAAAGCTACTAATTTAATGACCTTGTCTTTATTTCTAACACAATCAAATAAAGCTAGCTTTTAAATATTACATCCTTTTTTTGGGTATCGAAATGGATAAATGGTTTTTTTAATATATTCTATATATATATGTGCGAAATTTTGAATATACATGACATACTCTGAATACATGAAGCAGAAAATAAGACAACCATTATTCCATTAATTACAAACGCAGCATATCACGTGCACATCACTACGGACTTGGCTCGTGTAAGATAAAATATTAGACAAGAACTATACCTTTAAAAGACGGCGTTTTCAGCGGCAAAATTTTAGAGGTCTATGAAGTGAACGCAAAACACAGAGAGATGAGAGGAAACCAAAAGAGGTGTTCTGGAAAGATGAGAAGCAGAAGAAGGAAACGATGTTAACTAAGACTACAACGCCGATCACTTTTTTCGAGATGTTTGAGACGATGAGAGGAGGATCCACCGTGGAATATGGCCAAGGAAGGGACCAGATGGCGTAGAAGGAGAGCAAAGGAAACCGAAGGCATCGTCGAAACCCTAATTCTTACACCAGAATCCCAAGGCCTCTCTGCGATTTCAAACGCAACAGCATTCGAGGAGATTGGAATGGAAAGAAACGACTGATATGAGATTGCAATTAATCCATAGATCTGGGAAGGAACGTAATTGAATTTCGAACAGAAACAGAAATTATATTTATAGTTGGCGCTTGGAGGGAATCCGATCAAATATGAACGAACACGTTTCACTATTTCCCTCGGCTCATATTCTTCACGTCTCAACCCCTCCACTAATTCCGCCAAGGCCCAATATTGTTGCATTTTCGGCCCATCTATGCCTCTTATTCTTAAATTCCTATCTATTTTTAGTTTCTTTAATACAAAAATATTTTTTTTTATTGTGTATACTAATATAACAATTTCCGCTATGTATCGTAAATTCACAGTTTTTTTTAATACAAAAAATAATTTTTCCCTCGTGAGTCATGACATTTTTATTAAAAAAGAAATGAAAATAAAATAAAATTTCAACTTTAAAAAAAAATGAAAATAAAATAGGCCAAATTCAATTTTCTTATATCACTAAGACTCTGAATTGACAAGTAGAATCTAAGGGTATTTTTGGTTTAAGAAAAAATGAGTAAGTTAAATAAATTTATAAGCTTTTTTGTTAAAAAAAGAAATTAAAAAAATATTTTCCTCCTATATATACATATTAAAATATAATATTGACATTTTTATCTAGGTATATGATGGTATTTTTTATCTTCATAAACTTCACTTTGTGTCCAAAATAGTACTGATCATGATTATAGCTGGGCTCATCCTTGAAACATTGTGAATTGCTAAGTTTTTCATCTTCAAAATCCAAACAAAGCATAATCTTTCACACAACCAAAATCCTCCTGATTCACTTTCTCCTCTAAATGATATGAGAAAGAATTAGTTTGATACTGTAAAACTTATTTGTAGCAAAGCACTTGTTTTTTCAAAATATCGGAAAAGGCATTCCATTCTCTCAAAGAACTGGGATGGGAGTTTGAAAAATGGAAATGTAAAAAAATGGCAAGGGAAGGAACTATAATCAATCATATAATCAGTGTTTTTCTATTGTTAAGGGAACTGACATCTAAAAATGAAAGTACACAGAATTCTACATCATTCGCACAAAACATACATACATCTCTCAAAGAGCGTTTTTTAATTTTGAATTAGCAAATCATCTCACAAATTCGTCCGCATCAGGCAAATTCCATTTCCCAAGCTAATTTTTGAATGGGGATAAATTATGGATCATGTTCCGTTTGTTTAACGATTTTTGAGAACACATCAGAGTATCTTCAGGTATTGATGTATAAATTTTAGCATTTTATAAAAATAATTATTGAACAAGTCACTATACAAAAGTAGCAAAGCATACTCAAGTCACCGCTAATATTCTGAAACAATGTGAATCCACATGTATCAAATCAACATTCAGTTCCAGAATCAGAAGAAATATTCAAAAACAAAAGCTAGTTTAACCAATGTTCATCAAATTGCGCAAAACAATAGAAGAGTTTAAAAATTGATTTAGGCAAAATTCCACCCCTCATCTAGTCACACATTTACAGAGTCAAACTAACAACCCTAACCACATGGCAATAGCACAATTGATAAACACGACATATAATTATTGAAACGAAACATTCTTCCATTACCAACAACTATCCATCCGATTACATCTACAATCTATTTAAAAAGAAAAAAGAAAATAAAATGCACATGAAACCCTAGATCCGATTAAAATCCAAATTCAAGAGCTAGTGAATTTGGTGACAGCCTTGGTGCCTTCGGAGACGGCGTGTTTGGCAAGCTCCCCAGGCAGCACCAAACGCACAGCGGTCTGAATCTCCCGAGAAGTAATAGTTGGCTTCTTGTTGTAGCGAGCCAAACGCGAGGCTTCCTGTGCGAGCTTCTCGAAGATGTCGTTAATGAAGCTGTTCATGATCCCCATGGCCTTGCTGGAAATGCCGATGTCAGGATGCACCTGCTTGAGGACCTTGAAGATGTAGATCTTGTAGGTCTCCACGCTCTTCTTCGTGCGCTTCTTCTTCTTGTCGCTGCCTCCTTCCTTCGGGATCTTCTTCTCTGCCTTCGGCTTCTTCTCCGCTGGAGACTTCTCCGCCCCCGGCTTCTTCTCTGCGGGCTTCTTGTCGGCCCTTGCGGGAGCCATGGAAACTAAAATTTGAGAAGAGGAGTGTTGGATGAGATTGCGTGTGCGGGATGAGACTATGTGCTGGGAAATGCGGTGAGTGAAGGAACCGAAAGAGGGGGAGTATATATAGAGATGAGAGATGGGTTCTTATTGGAGGATAGGGTGTCGCCCCGATCGCTGACGTGGAGGGTTTGGCTTTCGTTGGTTTGGTTTAGTTAATCGACGGATGAGATTTCACCGCATGTTTTCAGCTTCCCGAGATGACTTGGGTCGGCTTCCCAAGTCCCCATGGTTACGTTGCACGTTTTCAAGTTTTTGTTTTTAGAAATTTAGTTATTTTCTCACGTTTTATAATCAAATTAATATTACAATATATATTTAATTTATTAAGATATTTAGTTTTAAAAGAATCAATGTTTATAATTAAGTTATACAAAATTGCAATGTGTATTAGGCATATATATTTTTAAAAGAAGCTAACAATAAGATAAAAAAAGTTTAGGAGCAAACACCATAAATTTACATGTTAGAAAATTACATGATAACATGCAAGATAGTAGTAATAGATAGATTCTAAATTTAGTATATTACAAATAACAATAAAAAGATAAAGCGATTATATATATATATAATATGATGTGATTTAGTCATTATAATCAAAATTGATGCTAGTAGATGAAGAAGTTTTTTTTTTGTGATACAGTCTCTTATTATATATCAAACTTGTTTTTCTATCTAAATGAAACATTCATCCAATTTGAAGGATAAAATAGAAATAAAGAAAACATATTAATATAAACTAGTCTTATTATTGATAAAAATGAAATTAATTAATATAAATTACTTTAGATATATATCTAATTTGTAATGAAATAAATTGATTGATATTTAAATTGAATTTAATATTAGTTATTTGTGAGAGAGTTTAAACAACAATGCTACCTAAAAATAATGTGATTAAACAAAAAAATGTATAGTATAATATAGAAATTTAATTAATATACATTATTTGTATAGTAAAAAATAATATACATAATTATAACCCACTAAATAGTAAAGGATATAACGTGCTTATTTTACGAATTAAATGACTACGACGAGAACAAAGACATCATAATTAATTAAATAATTAATTATAATGTTCATATGTTAATTATGCAATAGATATTTTATTTTATTTTTTAAATTTTAAATATGTTAATCGATAAAAGACAATTTTAGAAGCATGTTTATAAGATGACTTGCAAAAAAAATTCATACGTGTGATCAAATATTTCTCTGTTTTTTTCCTCATTTTCACATTTGATATATTTGCAGTCAGTACCTTGAGGACATCTAAATACATGGATAAATAAAACAAATTAAGCTCAGTTACGAAAAAAAATTAATATATAACTAGAAGAAGAAAAAAACCTATTAAATAATTTGCATACCAACTCAAATTGGAAACATGACAAAGCTCTCTAGAGGTTAAGCCAATTTCTGAATGGTTCTCTCGGTTAATAACGTAAGCAAGGTGTTAGTCAAAACTATACTTTAATTGTTGTTTGTAATTTTATATTCACTAATGTTGTTAATAACATTTCAATCTCATAATAAAAATGACTTTTTATAGATAATTCAAGATTATTCAAGATTTATCTCCTATTTTAGAAAAATAAAAACATGTTATATTTAATTTTTATGTATTTTAATCACACTAGAGAAAAGTTTAAAATAAAATATAAAAAAAAAAAAACATATGTACATGCACATGAACGCACATATACATTATAAGTCAAGAATAATAAATAAGTTTAAAAAATACCATGTTAATATAAGAAAATTCATTTCTCTTATGAAATTTATAGTCTACATTTGAATAACTTGTCCCTCGACAGTCTATGAATCTAAAAATGAATATTTCTTTTACCTTGATTTATCTTACACATAAGAAATGCATTGTTATTTTATGTAGGATACTCAAGTAGTAAAGTAATAGACAAGAAGAATGACGTTTTGAACTCAAAATAAGTGGAGCTGAGGAACAAAATGTAAGTTTACAATGGTTTGGTCACATAAAAATGAATAATATGTAAGCTGGAGTCCCCCTTCACATATAATAATAATAATAAAAGAAAAAAATCTAAACACCTAATGAAACTATCATATTACATGAAATGCCTCAAATATTATAGTATCACAATAAGGTAAACAAGTAGTTCTGTTATGTGAGTTTTATAAATGATGCAAGTCTTTTTAATTATATTTTTTTTAATATTGTCACTCATAATTTGTAGATCTGATTTTTTAAAAATAAATAAATAAATAAATTTAGACTTTTATAAGCATAAAGTAATTATATAATATGATGTGATATATTTTACTGGAGTCGGTATCTATAGTTATATTCTAATATAAAACAATGAATGCCTACTCAATAATTAATACTATATGTTATTATTCTTTTAGCAAAATATATAAAGTGGCATGATGAACTGTTTTAAGGTTTCTAAAAGACTAAATTTCACACTCTTCCTATTCTGGAATCTGGACCACTACCTTTTCTTATAATTAATTACTTACTTAATTTTGTGTTAAATCGTTTTTTCATAAGCAAAAATACATGATCAATAGAGTTCGACCAACTAAAATAGCCCATAACTACATGAATGTTGGACAAGAAACACTGAATATTATTGTTATCGCTACAGAAAATTAAAGTAATGGACAATTATATGTTTTTGAGAGTGTGATGTTACCGACTTGTCAAACCAAATCTCCTATAGAGATTTCTTAGTCTGTCATCCAAACTATTCCACATCCAAAAGTCTCCCAACCACAACTTTCCAACTCAAACAACCCGCTGCTTAAGAACACAATACCCCATTGCTATTTCACTAACAATAATTGATCAACTAAAAATTGGAAGGGAAAAAGATACACCAAAAACACAATTGAGTTTGAACTTCAAGTTAACTCACAATATATTCATATCTATTGTTCCAATTTCCAACTATAACAACTGAGCATAATATAAGATAGGACCTTATCTCATCAATGAGTCATGATGGAAAACCACTTTAAAATCATCCATACAAATCCCCTAAGGGTGCCAAATATATGAATACAATACAACAAATTATAAGAATGTAGCTATCAAAATTATTCACATAAAACTCAATTACTGAATAAAGCAGCGATACACATGCATTACGAGTACGTAACATTATTATATGTATGTAACACAAATTTGTATTGTATTATGATACACATACAACTGAAATTGTTGGATACAAATAAGTCTCATATCGATAAAATAAAAAAAGAAATAACAACTTATAAACCACTAAACTCACAACCCAAAACACTAAAAAAATAAAATATTATTTGCTAAATTTTTTATTTTCTCTCTTTTTCTCTTTTTGTTTCTCGTAATTGGAATGTTAAGAAAGAAATGAAAACTAATATTTATCAATGAATGGAAAGTTTTTTTTTTTCTTATCTATTTTTCTATTTTTAAGTAACTACTTCTACTATAAGTTTTCCTTATTTTTCTCTCAACAAAGGAACAAACGTTTTCTTGAATTTTTCTTTGCATGACCAAGTCCAACAATCTTCCACTTGAAGACTGATTTCAATTTGTTCACATCTCAATCAATGCAACAGCCTTATCATGTCTATTATTTTAGTAAATCAACTAAAGTTGAACATAACTTTAATTTGTCAATGGTTACTACCTTTGTTAACATGTCTATTAAGTTCTTACTTCCTGGAATCTTTTTCAAAGTTAACACCTCATCCTCAAGCTAAGATCTAATGAATTGATAAAGGAGACCAGTGTGTTTTACTCTAAAATGAAATGCTAAATTCGTTACCAGATGTATCGTACTCTAACTATCACAGTGCAAACACTCTTCTCCCGAATGAATATCGGCTCTATTAATAATTCTTGAAACCATATCAATTCTTTATTGGCTTTTGTTACTGCTACATACTCGGCCTTTGTAGTGGATAAAGCAATAATATTTTGTATTTGTGACATTCAACTAACAATTGTAGTGCCAATAAGGAAAATGTAACCAATGGTACTACTTCATCAAATTTGATTCCAATTGAAATCAATTGAGTTGTAATTATATTGAGTTCACTAAGATGTTGTGTTGCCAATGTGCTTTCTATCATCTGTAAATTAAATAACTGCCTCAACTAATGAACTTTGTTTAAGGTTGACGACTTTTCATACATACTAGAAAGAGTCGTCATAAGACTCGATGTGGTCTTTTATTTTGAAATGTTGAATATATCGTTGTGGGATAACATTAATCGGATAACTCCACATGCTTGTTTGTCTAGAAGAGTCGAATCCTCATCCTTCATGCCCTTTGATTTGTTTCTTGAGAAAAGAGTGATACAACTTTTTTTAATACAAATAATCTTCGATTTACATCTTCCAAAAGTCAAAGTATGCACCATTGAACTTCTCAATTTTCACCTTTCATTCATCTGCAACCATTTCTCCCACTCAAATTTGACTCCTCTAGATCATTTATAATTTTTTTTAGGATTAATAGAAATCACCATCAAAGCTCTTGATACCAATTGTTGGAAAATTACACAGAATTTCTTATAATCAAATTTGTGAGAAATAAAATAAATGCGGAATAATAACACAAAATTAATAACAAAGTTCAACTAATTATGTCTACGTCTCTAGGCTGTTGCATATATATTATTGGAAATATATATATATATATATATATATTCAAATGTAT